TTATGTCAGATGCAATTCCATGTTTTGACGTTTTTCGCGAACACCAGGTATCATCACAATTTGATAGTGATTCATAAACACATGCTCATGATATAATTGGAATCTAACAATCGACTCTGCAGAGATTTCTACTGGATATGAAACGGGTTTTGTCGCTTTATTCCTAAGGTAATCACAGAATCGAGGATATGGTTCCTGGGTATTTAAAGAATCAAGTAAATGTGTCCTGATTATTTCGTGAAATACTGTCGTATTTTTAGAATGAAAATACAGTTGTTCATTCAGACATACTAAAACAAAATGACAATGCAGTTTTTGTGATTGCCCTAACAGAACATACACTAACTCAACAGACTTAATACGTGGGCGGTTAAATGTGTAATAAAGATTAGATCACGTTACATTAATTTCGGATACTAACTTTAAATATGTAAACATTTTTTGTATATATTGACACACCCACGGGCTCCTAAATGTATAACATGACCGATGCCAATTATCTCTGACATTCGTCCTTGTTAGTGCCGTTCAATTAGGTAATAATTGATTAAGTTCAAAAATAATCCACAGCTAGTTCTAAGATCGGGTGATACCGTCGGTGTATATCATATTTAAGTGACATATTCTTTTACAGTTCTGACGTTTATACCAGAAGAAAATCAAACATCATTATTTCCTCTTATTTTTTAATAGTATAAGGCAGTAGTTTTGGTCATTCGTGTATTTATATGTAGTCAGGCTAAAAATGTCTGTACTATAGGTTCTTAAAATTGGTTCATTTAGGAGATGAGAATTTAAAAAAAATAGACAATCGTCAATTTGTTATCGGGATTACCCGCTATATAATTAGTTCCTGTTTGTTCGAGACATCCGGAGTGTTGATACAGTTTCTGCCTTGATTAAAACGTTACAACGAATTAAATGAATACATCGAGTAAAATTCAGTTCGACTTAACGAAGGTTCATTGTATACAAGTTATTGTCGACATAAGTGAGTGAGGTAGTTTAACGTTGCTTTGAACAGTATTTCAGTTACATCACTGGAGTCAGAAGTGATGCGGGTCTTAGACTACCAACCAACAAAGGTATAGTGCATAATCAGGGTAAATCTGAGATTCGAACCCATGGTCATTGGTTTCTGGCACGTCAAAGGGAAGCAACTCTACACCGTGCGCCCTTTGTGAGTTTGGTGTTTATTTTTAAGTTACGGAACACAGCTATATGCTCATGTTTGGCGCTTCATAGTAATGACGAGCGCGTACCCGCTTTATACATTTACAAAAAAGTTTTAAAAAGTCAAAGAATCAAGGATATTTTTATTGATACTCCTTTTGTAACGAAATTGGATATAATGAACTCAATTATATCCCTATCAGAATTCGGAGAAATTTTAGATAGATTCTGAAATAAGTTTTAACCGGAGTGATACCCTTTACGCCAAATGGAATCTGTTTCGCTGGATAATCTAGACTGGTTACTCTCTTTCATTGACAATTCATATTAACTGCAATGAATGAATTAAAGTTGAATCTTGTTTGACAGTTTTATGACTTAGTGCAATCAATAGTGTTTTCGTAGGAGGTACTTGTAAAAGGACATCTTGTATCTTTTGTCAAGGCCTCTTTTGAAAATCGTTATCTATCTGTGGTAAACAACACGGCGATAGATACAGGAATAACACAACAATGCTATAAAATCAAAGCCGTTATAGACCCGAGTCTACATAGACGCGCTGTAGCTATTTCAGGAGCCCTTGAATAGCTCTTGTGGAGCTCTTTTAGAGCTCTTGTGTGACGCTCATAACAAACATGACGGTATTAGATAGGTATAAAAACATATTAAGCTGTAAACCAAACAGGCTCCTCCAATCCCGCCTATCTCGTATGAATCTACATGTGTGTAAATGTCAAACCATTTTGCTTCCAATACCATATTGTTTTGTTGTGGAGATCGCAAGTAGGTCTTCGTCAAGCAATCTCCTCGTTATTTACATGATCTTGACGACTATCCATACATGTCGACTTTTATTGGAGATAAATATCATAAATGTGCCTAATCGTTGTCTCGAGACGTGCTTCCAACCACAATGACAAATCGGCAGGTAGCTAATCAATGTGAAGTTCGTGCCGCCCACTCCCGCTACGTGAAGACCACTTGGTTCCAGACATAATGTACTCGTGACGTTACACCATTGAGCGATACGCTGTAGCCGCGAGTGATTCGTGATACATCAATTATTTGACGGACTTGAAGATATGTGCAAGAATAGGTTTTACTTTTTGTCAAAGGCTTGATAAAGACATACCTTGGTCATTATATGTTAGTATTGAAAGTTAAAACAACTAATTTCGCTTGGTTAAATAGACGTAAATTCTAATAAATAAATATTTGGTATTTTTAAGCGGATTAAAAATAAAATCTAGATAACGCTTAACGTTATTTGAAAAAATAAACATTCTTCAGATGCTCCTTGTCCTGTCGACCATTTAGATTTATTATAATCATAGATTATGTATTTCTTGAGTTTTTGTACAAATCTCAAATCCACCTACACTATGAAACATTCAACAACGATTCGAAATAACCTTATACTATACAAGGCAACCCATTAACCCAGGCGATGTCGTCCAGATTGAAAGGTTTCTCGATAAACGGAACTATGACTTCTCACTAGTGTCATTTCATAACATAGGGGTTCGGGTGGCGCAGTCATCTAGGGCGCAACAATTCTATGTACAGAGTTGCGTCCCTTAGACATTTCACGATCCGATTATCCTTAGCTTGACAGCACAAGACCCGTGCTCGCAACTGATAAGTCGCTAAGACCTAATTCTTTGAGCTTTCCTCTCACATTAAGTTGGCACTTGGTGACATTAAACTGAAACAATTGACAGAAACGTGAAACCGAACACACTCACTTAGATAGGTCTCAGGGGCGGTCGGGTAGCCTAGTGGTTAAAGCGTTCGCTCGGCACGCCGAAGACCAGGGTTCGATTCCCAGATGGGTAAAATGTGTGAAGCCCATTTCTGGTATCCCCCGCCGTGATATTGCTGGAATATTGCTAAATGCGGCGTAAAACCAAGCTCACTCACTAGATAGGTCTCAGTTTGTCATATATGGAACCCTGAGGACATCTGGGTTTGAATTGATCTTCAGCAACCCATGCTGGTAGTATAACAAGGCGACAAGCTGATCATGAAGATTTCATGTCATGGTTTTAGATACAACAGAAACATCCGATAACATCTATCATGGTTCGTGACAAACGGACAAAACAATGCCGAGAGGAGTGAGTGAGGTATATTTAACGCCGCTTTAACCAGTATTTCAGTTATATCACGGCAAGTCACGTTATGTTGGAAGAAAGCCTGAATTGATGACATTCTATGTGTTTACCACTTTGGTGAAACTCTCGAGCACATATGGGTATTGGTGCTGACAAACCCAGAAACAAAATCAGGGTGAATTTGAGATTCGAACTAACGATCATATGTTTCTGGTTGGGCGAAGTGCCGTAAAAACTTTGCCTTGGCCCAAAGGTTAACGACCTATCGAGTTAACGCGGTCCTTCAAATGTTCTCTGTTTAAATCACTGAGAGATGTTTATCAGCACCATATCGTGGGTTTAACCAAAGTGGTAAACGTCTGGAACCTACATCACTCCGGTCTTCCCTCCCTCATTAATCTGACACACCGTGATATAACAGGAATGCTGTTAAAAGCGGCGGTGGACCACCTCCGTGGTCTAGTGGTAGAGCGTCCGCCCGGAGAGCGGAAGGTCCGGGGTTCGATCCCCGGCCGCGTGATACCAAAAGACGTTACAAGATGGTACTTGTTGTTACCCTGTCTGGCGCTCGGCATTAAGGGGCTAAAACAAGGACTGGTCGGCTCGGAGTCAGTATACTGTGTCTTAGTGGGGTATTCATGTTAAACTGCGGCATGGTATCTCAGTGGGCTAGCACTATAAATCGGCATCAGTTCGGACTAGTAAAAGCAGCCACACAAACACACACACGTACATGCACGTCGCTATATAAGTGCAATAATCTTGGACGCGACGTTAAATCCAATTTCACCTCACCTCACCTCAAAGCGGCGGTAAACCCAACTCACTCACTCACACGCTGAAAGATGTCATCTCAGTGTCCATCACAAAGCATAGAATATGTGTAAACGAAAACTGTACAAGAACCGTACGAGATGGCCTATTAAGAATAAAGTGAACTGAGAAGGGCGAGGCCACCAGCCATGCTATTCGACTAAATGCTAATCGACCCCATGCTATTCGACTAAATGTTAATCGACTCTCAGTTCTACTGAATACAAAAGTATGAGTCATTGATTTTACAGTTAAAATATTCAACACGGTTTCTGTACTGAAACGGCGAGGAACACACTCTGGAATTGTCAAGCTAAAAGACACGGAAAAGTTTGACATCTTGGTATGGGCATGAGACATGTTTAAGTGGCTAAGAAACTTTTTTCTGTCTAACATTTGCAAGTTTTGCACTTCTAACATGATCAAATACATAAACATCGCGAAAATGAGTTGAAAAGCAGCTTTTCCCAGCTTTAAGACAATCCATAAGTTTTTACCATCAGTCTGTACCAGTCTTTAACCAACGTGTCGCAACAGTTTGAGTCAAAGACTTGACCATGTTCAAACTTCAGAAAATCGCATCCGACAACTCTAGATAATCTCTTGTAGACACACTTCAGGCTTAACAATACAACCAGACTCGTTATCAGTCCTAAACATGGAATTGTTGAAATGAACAAAGTTAAATTCATATAAACCCGTCTTATAACTTTCATAATGAATTTTTAAAAAACCTTGCTCATTTTCTTAATTATGCACATCCCGTGGGCCACAAATGACCCTTTGATATCTTTAGTACTACTTAACACGAACTCATAACGGTCAGAAACAAAATAACATAGAAAGTTCTTTTTGAAATGGTAGCAATTATGTATGTGTTTTAATTCAGTTTTAACTCACCAGTCTGGTCAGCTCGTGGAGAAGTGTTGCTATCTTTCTATGAGTCTAGATCCTGCACGAGCGAGTGGCCAACACCGTCATACATTGCCCGCTGCCTCGCAATAGTTCCATAGAGCTAAAAGTTTTCAAGACGGTATGGGTGTCTTTGAGTTATGAAGCCAGTGTCAGGCACGTGAGAATTGCAACAGAAAATAGCGTAGAGCCCTTTCCTTGAGGCGGACGCCCGATTGCTCAGCGCGTGGGAGTGGGGCCGGGCGACGCGCGACGCGCGAGGGGGGCGAGGCACGGGGGACGGCGGGTTGAGGGGCGGTAATTAAGACGGTTGATGGAAAGATATATCGGTGATGTTAACAAGCTGTGAGGGAGGCACACAATAACGAATGTCAAATGAAGATGTTGATATTGTCCTAGGAGGACCAACTGATAAATGACGTCGTGCTGTTGGTCGATATGATTGTCTCACTTCTCATATGGCTCGAGGCGATAGCTCGGAGAGATTAAGACGCATTTGTACAGCCTTTCCTGAAATAAACGAATGCTTTATATTCGCAGGACACGGTTTTGTGTTAGTAATACTTAATTGTCGTGATTTCAGTGCATAAGAGTTGCTAATTGTATTTACTCTGGCTATTAGCGTGCAAGGCGGTATTGCAAAACATCGATACTGATATTCCATCAACAGTTACCTGGTTAAATATATATTTTTAAGGTATGTCAGATCACAACGGCATTAATCTTCAGCAGCCGATGTATGTCGTAGGAGGCGACTAACGGGATCGGGTTGTCAGGCTCGCTGACTTGGTTGATGCATGTCATCGTATCCCAATTGAGAAGATTGACGCTCATGATGTCAATCACTGGATTGTCTGGTCCAGACCGCCGTTATATAGATTGACTGTTTCTGAGTGCGGCGTTAAACAACAAACGAACACAAAGTCATAAGGTCAGTCTGGCTACAAGCATCGTGTTTGTATACTGTTTACTCTGGTAGGTTGGGTAGAGATATACTTCAGCAACCTCGATTTCCCTGTAGCCTCGATTATCCAGTGTATTATATCTCCATTCTACTTTGATAAATACCCTGAACCCATTCGCCACCATAGTTTCGTTTCGGAAGTGACGTCGCCAACTCCATCACACTTATCTCAAACTGAGCACTGAATTTCTCTCGCTCAAACGAGTAATTTGATTGGACTGCTACAGGACTACCCGGACCCGTGGTTAGTTCAGTGATATATTGTTTAATGGCAAAATTTATCTAGAACTCTATGGTTACACTACAAGCCACTAATGTTCCCATTTCTCTCTGACTATGCACCCACTCCTTCTGACTTTTCATATGGTTGAATAAAGACATAACTTAAGTCAGCTTCAGTGCATGCATGACCAGATTGTTTAATACATGTATCTAAATACGTTTTGCCAGGGCTATGGTAAAAGAATTCCCAAGCGGACATTTTGTACCTATCTCTTGAGACCTACAGTGGGTACCCGGGTAGGGCTGGGTAATAGGGGGGGGGGGGGGGGGGGGGGGTGGGTACCCGGGTAGTAACTTTGGACTCGTCCCAGCCATAGGCTGCTATTTTTAACTTGTGTCATTCAAATGGATTTTAAACGAAATTCAGTCCATGGTGGCGAATGGCTGATAAAGGTGCTGAAGAGGTTGACATTTCTTGATCAAAACGTAAAGAACATACAGAAGCGAAAAAACAATTCCAACAATTAAATAATTAATTCATTGTATTTTGTGATGACCTTCCAGAACTTGTGACAAGTAGGCTAAGCGAACAGGGCGCCACCAGGTGACGTTAAGCAACGCTGGCGGCTTTTACACCTGAAAGTTTTTTAAATCTCGGTCCTGCCCAACAACTGTAACACATATTACTTTTTAGAAAAATGCCTCTGTTCACCTGGCGACGATTATGTAACAGACAGCTAGGGTTGCATACTGCCCAGGGAGTTGAGAAAGCATTGTGCACTGATGAGTTGATCAGAGTAACAATGTAGCACCACGGGCAGGATTGATGGTTTAGATGTGAGTGAGTGAGTGAGTGCGTGAGTGCGTGAGTGCGTGAGTGAGTGAGTATGGATTTACGCCGCTTTTAGCAATATTCCAGCAATGTCACAGCGGGGGACACCAGAAATGGGCTTCATACATTGTACCCATGTGGGGAGTAGAACTCAGGCCTTCGGCGTGACGAGCGAACGCTTTTACCACCAGGCTACCCCACCGCCCGGGATGGATATGGAGCAATACACATGTGCATTACTGTTGTTGAACTGAAAACCTTTTAGGAACGTATGTACCGTTGTAGACCGTCGCAATGATTGGAAACGTGCTTCTTGAGAAAATCTTTCAAATGTAGACGACTTTAATCACGAGCTTCACGAAACTGAGATGCCTTGTTAGCACATCGGATGTTAAGTAATCCCACGAATGTAAAGGTCAACCGTGACAATATCGGAAATAATGTGATAATGACCAAGCAAGGAATCGCTCCAAAGGTCAAACGCTTATCTTGCAGTACCAAAACGGCGGCAGATATCGTCACACCATCTCCCACACTTGACCCATCATGGCATACACAGCGCGCTTAATACGCAGAGAGACGGGACCAAGTTCACTTCTCGTAACCGTAAATGTTAACTCGAGACTTGCCCCTCCAGCGTTCTGCAGCCTGCGCTGTGATGATTCCGTCAATCGCATGTCATGGTGGGCACTGAATGAGAACTCAATTAGAGTTATCTCGCTCTGGAATCGGATTCCTGCAATGGCCATGTTAGACCCCGAATCTATTGGGTTCTGAAAGGTTAGTTTGAATGCGTGTTGTAGAATTAAGACAATCTGGCACCTATACTTTCAAGATCATGTGTATACTAAATATACTACACATCTTATTTAAAATAAGTTAGCAATTAAATTTTATCCTTCCATAACTAACTCTTAATAGTATACCTATGATTTATAGAACCAATATTTTTTGTTTTGCTTGTTTTTTGTTTAATGCCACAATGTTCCAGCCATGTGACGGCGGTCTGTAAATAATCGTGTCTGGACCAGACAACCCGGTGATTGATATCATGAGCATCGATCCACGCTATTAGGATACGATGCCATGCATCAACCAAGTCAGTGAGCCTGACCACCCCATCCCATTAGTCGCCTCTTACGACAAGCATAGTCGCCTTTTACGGCACACATGGGTTGATGAATACCTATCTAACCCGGATCTTCACGGTAAGGCAGATTTGAAAATGAAATCAACAAATGCAGCGCACAAAACACGGCGTGGTGTTCACAGATTCTCCAATATACTGGGAATTCATTCTTGCAGAAAATCTGCGCGTTTTATTCAAAATTCAGTGCGCGCGGTCAAGCCAATGTGTATGTAAAACAAGTAACCACAGCCATAGAGCCTTAGTATTCACTGACCTATGAAAAACATTAATGGCTATGGTCACTGTAGATTTTATAGCGGTAGAGCCGCTCACTCTAACGTCTGTCTGACTTTGGTCCCTTGTCTTTCAGTGAAGGTAGAACTAGGCGACAAAGTAGCATTGTCGGTCTGACTGGTGTCCCTCACCTGTCACTCACTCTGACATCACTCCTCACTCACCCTGTCATCACTCCTCACTCACCCTGTCCCCGCTCAGCACGCATCCTGTCATCACTCCTCACTCACCGTGTCATCACTCCACACTAACCCTGTCATCACTCCTCACTCACCCTGTTATCACTCCTCACTCACCCTGTCATCACTCCTCACTCATCCTGTCATCACTCCTCACTCATCCTGTCATCACTCCTCACTCACCCTGTTATCACTCCTCACTCATCCTGTCATTACTCACCCTGTCATAACTCCACACTCACCGTGTCATCACCCACCCTGTCATCACCCTCCACTCATCCTGTCATCACTCACCCTTTCATCACTCCCCACTGTCCCTGTCATCACCCATCACCCACCCTGTCATCACTTCGCCCCCACTCACCCTGTCATCACTCCCCACTGCCCCTGTCATCACTAACCCTGTCATCACCACCCACTCACTCTGTCATCACACACCCTGTCATCACCCCCCCCCCCCCCTCACCCTGTCATCACTCACCCTGTCATCACCCCCCTCACCCTGTCATCACTCCCCACTGTCCCTGTCATCACTCACCCTGTCATCACCACCAACTCACTCTGTCATCACTCACCCTGTCATCACCCCCCTCACCCTGTCATCACTACCTACTGCCCCTGTCATCACTCGCCCTGTCATCACTCCCCACTGTCCCTGTCATCACTCACCCTGTCATCACCCCCCTCACCCTGTCATCACTCCCAACTGTCCCTGTCATCACTCACCCTGTCATCACCACCAACTCACTCTGTCATCATTCACCCTGTCATCACTCCCTACTCACCCTGTCCCCGCCCAGCACTCATCCTGCAATCATTCCTCACTCACCCTGTTATCACTCCTCGCTCATCCTGTCATCAATCACCCTGTCATCACACCACACTCACCCTGTCATCGTTCCCCACTCACCCTGTCATCACTTACCCTGTCACCACTCACCCTGTCATCACCCTCACTTACCCTGTCATCACTCTCCACTGTCCCTGTCATCACCCCCCACTCATCCTGTCATCACTCTCCACTCACCCTGTCATCACTTACCCTGTCATCACTCACCCTGTCATCACTCCCCACTTACCCTGACATCACTTACCCTGTCATCACTCACCCTGTCATCACTCCCCACTTACCCTGTCATCACTTACCCTGTCATCACTCACCCTGTCATCACTCCCCACTTACCCTGTCATCACTTACCCTGTCATCACTCACCCTGTCATCACTCCCCACTCACCCAGTCATCACTCCCCACTAACCCTGTCATCACACCCCACTCACCCTGTCATCAAAACCCATTCACCCTGTCATCACTCCCCACTTACCATGTCATCACTCCTCACTCACTCTGTCATCACTCCCCACTCACCCTGTCATCACTCCCCACTTACCATGTCATCACTCCTCACTCACCCTGTCATCACTCCCCACTCACCCTGTCATCACACCCCACTCACCCTGTCATCCCTCACCCTGTCATCACCACCCACTCACCCTGCCAACACTCCCCACTCACCCTGTCATCACTCACCCTGTCATCACTCCCCACTCACCCTGTCATCACTCCCCACTCATCCTGTCATCACTCCCCACTCACCCTGTCATCCCTCCCCACTCACCCTGCCATCACTCACCCTGTCATCACCCCCCACTCACCCTGTCATCCCTCCCCACACATCGCCATGCACCAACTGCTTACTCCTGTAGTGTAACGAGAATCTGACAGTTTACTCCACATTCTATCGTGGAAGTTGCGCGGGCGGTGTGACATGCTGTCGTATACGGAAGTCTCGATCAGACAGCTGTTGCTAATCAGTTTAAGTTGGAGACCTTCTCACAATAAAGTTATTAACTTAAAAGGTCAGCCTAGCGGCTTAAGGATGCGACAGGACGGCTTCAGTACAAGATCTGAGAAAATCTTCACGCCGACTTGACATGATTCCGGCAACTGGCAAAAAAACGTTAATATTCTCAAATCATATTTTAACATTTTACATAAGACTGGATGAGTTAATTTGATAAAGAACCAACTTCAAGAGATTTCAATATCTTAATATCGCCAAGAAGACGCCAAGTAGACGCCAAGGTCATCTACCACAAACGCCATTAACTGCGTACTACAGAGTACTTTAGGTTAAAAATAAGATATCAAATCGGGACCTTTCTATCTATTTTGCTAAAAAAGTACTCCTTCACCTTTAACCTTTCAGTTCCCACGCTGTACGGATACAGCAAGAATGTAAAGGCACCATTTTCTAATGGGTGCTCCGTCAATGTGGGACGCAAGACACTTACCCTGGATCGTCATGCGTAGTGATACGTCATCAAGGATGAAACAAACCTGACCTTCTCACCCCTTGGGTCAATGTCCCTCCGCGGAAGGATTTCGAGATAGAGCCATCGAATTCCGTACGCGTTTCTTGTTAATTCATTAAGAACTGCCCACTCATGCCGATCTCAATCGGATATCGTACAGCACTGCAGAAATGAAACTTGTCTAATGCTTCGTAGTGTATGCTAACGGTAACATCGGAATAGATCATGGCGAAATGGGGAAAGACAGCTTAAATCTTTCCACTCGTTTGCAAGAGATCAGATATGTAAAAGGAATCTTAGCAGTGTACACACTAAGTAGCTTATCGTGTCTGTTGGAAATATATATATAGTTTTTCAAACAGTATTGATTATTTACTTAGTGACAAACGTAAAACAACTTTCATCATGTATGCAGGGGCTGAAATAAGGTTCGTTACTTCATGCAAAGAGCAAGGAAGAACACGTATTAGTCCCACTAAATTAGAACTACTTTTGTCTGGTCAGATCGCCTCCGTGGTCGAGTGGATAAAGCATCTGCCCGGAGAGCCGAATATTGGTGGTTCTATCCCCGGACGCGTCATACCAAAAGACGTAAAAATATGGTACTTGTTGCTGCCTTGCCCGGCCGTCGGCATTAAGGAGATCAAACAAGGACTGGACGGCTCGGAGACGTAAACTGTATCGAGTGAGGTATTGATGTTAAACTGCGGCATGGTATCTCACTGAGTTCGCACTTTAAAACCGGCCTACAACAAATATCAACTTTTAACGTCTTTTTGTATTACGCGGCCGGGGATCGAAACACATACTTTCCGTGCAGACGCTCTATCCACTAGACCACGGAAGCGGTTCATTCTCTATAAACACACGCTACTTCTCACCACGTCTTTTATGATCTACTGTCTTCCTTTTACCTTACTTTACGTACACCACATCGGGTAATGCAAAGGGTATATATTTGTCAAGAAATTAAATTTTTAGAAAAGGAAACATTAATATTGCGTTTGTACAATAACATAGACCGACGACAGTTTAGATGCATATACATCATAGAAGTTTCGTTCAAACGTCAGCCCTTGGGGAGTGCAAATAATAATTAATTCTCTAATTAAACATTACACAATGTGACGTTTTTGAATTTCCGCCGTATGAGATCAAAGAAACCGTTTCTGCACATAGATTCATGCTCCTATCACCTCGGCTATTTTCATTCAAACATACACCTCTGACGAAACTAGCGCTCATTTCCTAGACCGTTTCAGGTATAATTCTTGTCAATAACCCTGTCCAATAGTCTTTTCTCAAATAGATCATGGCTGGAACATTCTGATAAGAGCATGCAATTCTCGGAAACTGTCGAGGTCATCCGACCGATGATGAATGATCTCATAGTGTGTGACGTCATTATGTTCCCTCCATAAAGTAGCAACACTGAAATCATGTTCAGGAATGACGTCAGAAATCTCGTGAATCACGTCGCCGTTCATTATAAAACAGATGACTGGGACCCCGTAAGGCAACTATCTTTCAAAAGCATCCCGAAGAGATACGACATGGTGTAAAAATACCCAGCCGGCATCGTCGAAGGAATTCGTTTTCGCTATCCCCTACAAATACTTTACAAAGAGGACAAGACCATCGATTTTCGAAACAGACTTTTATTGAAACTAAATGCTTTTCTTTGCAGGGAATGCTTCGGTTTACAACTTGTTAAATGTTCAACTAACGAAAGTGATTTAATGTGCGTGACCTGAGAAATTAATTCAATGTGCATCTGAGAAACCCGGATTTTTTACTTAAAAAACTGATTAATTGCGAACAAAGAAAACTGATTCGATTGTGCTTTAGAAACCTCATTTTATGTGTACCTTACTTAGAAAACCGATATAATGTGTACAATAGAAACCTGAATAAATTTGAAATTAAGAAACTGAGTAATGTGTAGCTTAGACAACTGATTTAACGTGTACCGTTGAAAACTGATTGAATGTGTAGCTTAGAAAGCGGATGTAATTTGTAACTCTCACGCTGATTTAGTGTGTACAAAAGAAACCTGAGTTGGTGTACACCTAAGAAAACTGATTTAGTGTGTAACTAAGAAAACTGATTCAGTGTGTACCTAAGAAAACTGATTTAGTGTGTAACTTAGAAAACTGATTTAGTGTGTACCTAAGAAAACTGATTTAGTGTGTAACTTAGAAAACTGATTTAGTGTGTACCTAAGACAATCGATTTAGTGTGTACCTAAGAAAACTGATTTAGTGTGTAACTAAGAAAACTGATTTAGTGTGTACCTAGTAAGAAAACTGATCTAGTGTGTAACTAAGTAAACTGATTCAGTGTGTAACTAAAAAAACTTATTCAGTGAGTACCTAAGAAAACTGATTTAGTGTGTAACTAAGAAAACCTATATAGTATGTACCTAATAAAACTGATTTAGTGTGTAACTAAGAAAACTAATTTTGTGTGTAACTTAGAAAACTGATTTAGTGTGTAACTAAGAAAACTGATTTAGTATGTAACTAAGAAAACCTATTCAATGTGTACCTAAGAAAACTGATTTAGTGTGTACCAAAGAAAACTGATTTAGTGTGTAACTAAGAAAACGAGCTAATGTGTACCTTAGAAAACTGATTTAATTTGCAGTATCTTAGAAAACTGATTTAGTGTGTATTGACCGGTGCATTGACACACGCATGATGGGCATACCAGATAACAACCTTTTATGGGATTTTATGGGATGCGATCTAAACATTCGACCATTGTTCATCAGCCTCATTTTTAAAGAAAATACTTCTTAGGAACAAATAAATGTGTCGGCGTTAATGTAATACATACATTTTCTTTTTCATCCATAATATGTTAAGATATGTTTCTTAAAATTTAGTAAAAGATGATTTGAAGCGATTTGCATAACCATCTCCATCCCTTGAACTTACACAACCTCCTTCCGATGATAACTGTACTGTCGGTACTCTCGATCTGTGCAGAAATATTTCTACACTTGCAACATGTATTATAGTAAGAACAGTAATTGCATTAACAACGATTATATACATAAGGCAAATATCAAAGCGGTACATGTTTTTGCATCATGACAACACTGGTTATCGAAGAACTTAATGTCATTCAAACTATGAGAAGAGACAGACACTATATACACTATATACACGAATTCGATGCGTATATAATGTATGGATTAATAATGATTACAATCACTTTGAATAATAACAAAAAACATAACTATCTCCTACTTCCCATGGTAACTTTCATGGTTAAGCACCTGTCAGATAGCTACTATAACAAATTCTCATAAAAAATCCTAAATTTGAAACATAAACTCAAGACTAATTGCAAATGCAAAGAAAGAGAGGAAAACAGAGTGCTGCCATTGAAAAAAAACACAAACCGGAAGTGACGTTGGCGGAAGTGACAATGTCATAAGCGACATGTGTTAATGCCGCTTATGACAATAATTGTTAAAAGTGTTAATTCCACTACGTTTCAGCAGTATTGCACAATGGGTTTGATTGCAATGGCACTTAGTATCTCCTTACACCAGGTATAGGTGGTAGATATCCACGGAATATCTTGTACAGGCTTTGAGGAAGAATCAGAAAGGTCGACACTTGTCCTATGCGTTACGTCTCAATACGCCACAGTAATCGTGACGTCTTTCTTCCCTTTTTGTTTCGGATGTGGGTCTATATAGACTAGCCTCTCAGCCATGACATATAACCCATCAACAGTCTGAAACATAGCAAGGATTAAAATGTATTACTTGTTACTTAACATTTGCTCGTCCAGTATGATATAGGTGAATGTTTAAGGTGCAGATAACGACCACAGTATGAGGTGAGGTGAGGTGAGGTGAGGTGAAATTGGGTTTAACGTCGCGTCCAAGATTATTGCATTTATATAGCGACGTGCATGTACGTGTGTGTGTTTGTGTGGCTGCTTGTACTAGTCCGGACTGATGCCGATTTATAGTGCTAGCCCACTGAGATACCATGCCGCAGTTTAACATGAATACCCCACTCAGACACAACATACTGACTCCGAGCCGACCAGTCCTTGTTTTAGCCCCTTAATGCCGAGCGCCAGACAGGGTAACAACAAGTACCATCTTTTAACGTCTTTTGGTATGACCCAGCCGGGGATCGAACCCCGGACCTTCCGCTCTCCGGGCGGACGCTCTACCACTCGACCACGGAGGCGGTCATCCACAGTATGACCATGAACAGAGCATCGAAATGCAGATAGATATAATGTGACTTTAGAGATCACAAACAAGGACATGACGATAGACATATTGTAACTACGTTGGGAATCAAACCCAGACTTGGCTTGAGAAGCGACAGCGTTAACAACTAAGGTGCCCAACCGCCGCCACTGCGTCATGTCTGTCGATATGGTTATTAAAGAAGCATTCGTGAAAAATGCAATAGAGTTACCTCCTCCTGGTATAAGTCCTTGATTTCCCGAGGCCGTTTCTGACGTGACGTCGCACTTCCTTCAGATCCGACCGGTGACGTGGACTAAACGACACAACATATACACTATACATATTGATTATTACATATATCAATCGATAATTTGGAGAACAAACGATGTATAAGATCAATACGATTGACAAGCTTAAAATGGTATCAGTTTCAATACGAACGTAACGTTCTGGTAACTATGTATGTCAAAGCTCTAAAAGCTTTAAAATTAACATGAAACGTGGCTCATATCTTCAGAAATACCAGGTAATGTTCTGAACAGTGTTGATATCAGCATTATATGTTCTGAAGCATGTGAATATAAACTTTATGTTCTGAACAATGCGAGTGCCAACTGTATGTTGTGGATCGACGTTAAGCCATCAACCATCAGTGTTACATATCAGATAAAGTGTTGACGTTATCTCATAATTTGAAGGTGTTTCAGGTGAGTGAACGGTTTGACGTTAATTTATCAACCATCTGTGTTTCAGGTCAGTGAAAGGGTTGACGTTAAGTCATCAACCATCAGTGTTTCAGGTCAGTGAAGGGGTTGACGTTAAGTCATCAACCATCTGTGTTTCAGGTCAGTGAAGGGGTTGACGTTAAGTCATCAACCGTCAGTGTTTCAGGTCAGTGAAAGGGTTGACGTTAAGTCATCAACCATCTGTGTTTCAGGTCAGTGAAAGGGTTGACGTTAAGTCATCAACCGTCAGTGTTTCAGGTCAGTGAAGGGGTTGACGTTAAGTCATCAACCATCAGTGTTTCAGGTCAGTGAAGGGATTGACGTTAAGTCATCAACCGTCAGTGTTTCAGGTCAGTGAAGGGGTTGACGTTAAGTCATCAACCATCAGTGTTTCAGGTCAGTGAAGGGGTTGACGTTAAGTCATCAACCATCAGTGTTTCAGGTCAGTGAAGGGGTTGACGTAAAGTCATCAACCGTCAGTGTTTCAGGTCAGTGAATGGGTGACGTTAATTCATCAACCACCAGTGTTTCAGGTCAGTGAATGGGTGACGTTAATTCATCAACCACCAGTGTTTCAGATCAGTGAAGGGGTTGACGTTAAGTCATCAACCATCAGTGTTTCAGGTCAGTGAAGGGGTTGACGTTAAGTCATCAACCATCAGTGTTTCAGGTCAGTGAAGGGGTTGACGTAAAGTCATCAACCGTCAGTGTTTCAGATCAGTGAAGGGATTGACGTTAAGTCATCAATCATCAGTGTTTCAGGTCAGTGAAGGGGTTGACGTTAATTCATCAACCACCAGTGTTTCAGATCAGTGAAAGGGTGACGTTAAGTCATCAACCATCAGTGTTTCAGATCAATGAAAGGGTTGACATAAAGTCAAGAACCACCAGTGATTTAGATCAGTGAATGGGTGACGTTAATTCATCAACCACCAGTGTTTCAGGTCAGTGAATGGGTGACGTTAATTCATCAACCACCAGTGTCTCAGATCAGTGAAAGGGTGACGTTAAGTCATCAACCATCAGTGTTTCAGATCAATGAAAGGGTTGACATTAAGTCACGAACCATCAGTGATTTAGATCAGTGAATGGGTGACGTTAATTCATCAACCACCAGTGTTTCAGATCAGTGAAAGGGTGACGTTAAGTCATCAACCTTCAGTGTTTCAGATCAGTGAATGAGTGAAGTGAAAAGATCAATCATCGGTGTTTCAGATCAGTGAGATGTTTGGATAATGTCAATCACCCAATAGTCATTCAACATAATGTTTGTCAGTGCACCCGGGGCATGTAAGAATAATCAAGGACAACAAACTTTTAGCCGTCCGTTTTTTGCTTTCTAAAATATATGTACAAAAATCAATCAATCCAGTCTGGCAAAATGGTGTTTGGAGCTCAAAAGCTTTCGGGAGCCAAAGCTTTCATTGCAATTTTACTATTACCCAAGATGAGCTCAGACAAGGCTTTCATAAGAGAAATCTTTCATGCCAATTCCCGGACCAATGTCTTTGTTCTATTTCCAGTGTCTGAAGTAGCCAGGATGTGGTAATTTTTCCCCATTTAAAGCTTAATACCTTTAAATATCTAGTGCAGTGTAAATGAAATAATTGAGAGGAGAGGCATTATTTTATTATAGCGACGCTCTTCTGAAAAGTTATTTCTGTAAAAGTACTTTTACATTACATGTATTTAGTTGTCCGTTTTTACAATCCATGTCGAATGTTGAGGTAGAGTATAAATCTAGCTTTCTTTTGCAGATGAAAATATTAATATCACATAAAAGACTCTAAATGAACCCATTCTCTACTCGTAGCCAGAAACCGTAATTTTACGACAATAATATTTTCTTCGCCTTAGGCTTAACGACATTTCTATAGTATAGCGACCAGATTACGGCATCTAATGGCGGTCGGGGGTGGTATTTGCATTGCTTTGACAGGCAAGTAATGTGACAAGCGTACAAACGAGAGTCGGGCCTTGGAAGCTGTATATACATGCCAGCGAGGAGAGAAGACTTGATTGATTCTGGCCTCTTTCAGCAAAACGCCGTATTACGCCCAGAAGAAAAAACAAACATGGCTAACCGGTGAGATTAGAAGTCTTTCAAGCAGGCTGCATAATAAACGCTGCCAAAGGAGACGATGTAGCGCCGGAAATAGGCAAGAAGAGGAAATATTTGCATTTCAGATTTATTTGACATGCAATTTTAACCTTCCGTTTCTTTCTAACAAAACTCCAGGAAGAGAGACGAATGATTTGCAATAAAAAAAGGCTTGATGTTCTATTTGCGTCTTACTGCGACATTTGCCGAGACTGTTCCAAACACCAGTATCGATGGCGGTCTACCATGAAAACAAGAGGGCCTATGAGTTAACTCACTTTTTTCGAAAAAAATGTCCCCCTTGGTTCATGCCTCGATCATTCCGTAATATGGCTTTGGATATCAATACTTGACAAAACCGGAGATCAATTCATTTGGAAATCACGTACTGTTCATAGTTATTGCTCAATCTACTTCGGCTTGTAAACATTATAATTTAATATATATGTATCCCTTTGAGTAATGTCGCGGGTACGGCTAAGGCGCTGCGATTTGTTGTTCAAATGCGCCCATGAGGCGTGCAAAAAAACAAACCTACGATCGTGGATTCGAATTAGCCCTGATTATAATTCTTGGTTTTTCACCACCATACCAGTGCTCGTGGGTTTCATCAAATTGGTAAACGCCAACACCTACGCCACGTCCCTCCCACATGTAGCTGACACGCTGGGATATAACTGAAATAATCTTCAAAATAGCTTTACATCAAACGCACTTATTTGAGTGGTCAACACGATGACCAGGGGTATCCGGTAAACATTTACGAGTTATTTAAACATTTACGTGGCACAATGGGTCATCATTATTTAAACGCTTACCCATTGTAGCATATACTGAACAAAACAAGTTTGGGAAATCATGAATAGTTTTGGAGATTTTTTGTATGAAACTGTGAGCCCAGTCTTTACAACAACCAAAATACTTCTTATTAAAATATTCATTATCCCTAACGTTGTTTTCTTTCAGGATATATACTTAGACATTTACATAGCTTGAATATCCCCTCCCAAACACTGTTTTTGGGGGTGAGGTGAAATCACGTCGCGTCCAATATTGCTGCACTAAAAGAGCGAAGGGTATGCAGGTGTGTGTGTGTGTGTGTGTGTGTGTGTGGTATAAGGTACACAGAGGAATTTTGACTGTAGTCTAAGTGAAAAGGTATTCCAGCAAAATGTTTACCTCACAATATAAATATAAACACATATAAGACATGTTTAGACCCGTAAAGATCCGGGGTAGAATAGGTCTTCAGCGACCAATGCTTGCGGTTAAAGGCGACTATGCTTGTCGTAACGGGATCGGGCGGTCAGGCTGACTAAGTTGATGCATGTCATCGCATCCCAATTGCGTGGGTAGATGCTCATGATGTCAATCACTGGATTGTCTGGTCCAGACTCGATTATTTGCAGACCGCTGTCATATAGTACAGCAAACAAACAAACAAACAAACAAACAAACTAAACATGTTTAGGAATGTGTTTAAATCCTAAACGGAATTCACATTTAGTGTGTTCTACTTGAACACATTTAGTTCAAATACACGAAATTAGCTATCTTCTCCAAGCCTAAACAAAACGTCCCCATAACCTAAACATGTTTAGAACTGAAACATGTTGAGATTATTAGAATAACAACGATATGGACATTGTCGGGTGGATACGGGCCTTTCCCACATTTAGACCCTAAACACGTTTAGCTGCTAAACACAATACGAATATGTTTAGACACTAAACACGTCAAAATTATGGGAAAAGGAACGCGTTTAGGTTTGTGTTTGGGATCTAAACACATTTTAGAGTGTATAGTAATATGAAAGAATCGGCTGTTATAACTTCTTATGATTTGTATATATACATTCCCTCATCATAAGAACAGGGTCAAAAGATTCATCGTGTTCTCCACGTCTAATGTAACCATTAGCCTCGCTTTCAGTTTACTCACTCTGTCTTCTCTGGGGGAGCTTTCGTTGTTACCACTTGACGCATCTCTCGATTTGGAACGGTCGCGGCTCCTCATGCTGTGTTTACGGGACCTGCGCTTGTTCATGAGCTCTACTTGAGTCGGGATGTCCTGTGAGTGAGTGAGTGCGTCTTGGTTAAGTGAGCCAGTTTGTGACTGAGTGAGTGGGTCTTGGTTAAGTGAGCCAATGAGTGAGTGAGTGAGTAAGTGGGTTTTGGGTAAGTGAGTCAGTGAGTGGGTGAGTGGGTCTTGGTTAAGTGAGCCAGTGAGTGAGTGAGTCTTGGTTAAGTGAGACAGTGAGTGAGTGAGTCTTGGTTAAGTGAGTGACTGAGTGAGTCTTGGCAAAGTGAGCCTGTGAGTGAGTGAGTGAGTGAATGAATGAGTTGGTCTTGGTTAAGCGAGCCAGTGAGTGAGGGAGTGAGTCTTGATTACGTGAGCCAGTGAGTGGGTCTTGGTTAAATGAGTGAGTGAGTGAGTGAGTGGGTTGGTCTTGGTTAAGCGAGCCAGTGAGTGAGTGAGTGGGTCTTGGTTAAGTGAGTGAGTGAGTGAGTCTTGGTTAAGTGAGCCAGTGAGTGAGTTGGTCTTGGTTAATCGAGCCAGTGAGTGAGTGAATGGGTCTTGGATAAGTGAGTGAGTTAGTGAGTGAGTCTTGGTTAAGTGAGCCAGTGAGTGGGTGGGTGGGTCTTGGTTTACTGAGTGAGTCAGTGGGTTTTGGTTAAGTGAGCCAGTGATTGAATGAGTGGGTCTTGGTTAAGTGAGCCAGTGAGTGAGTGGGTTGGTCTTGGTTAAGTGAGCCAGTAAGTGAGTGAGTGTGTGGGTCTTGGTTAAGTGAGTGAGTGAGTGGGTCTTGTTTGAGCCAGTGAGTGAATGAGTGAGTGAGTGGGTCTTGGTTTAGTGAGTGAGTGAGTAAGTGGGTCTGGGTTAAGTTAATGAGTGAGTGAGTGAGTCTTGGTTAAGTGAGCCAGTGAGTGAGTGAGTGGGTTATGGTTGAGTGAGTGAATGAGTGGGTCTTGGTTGAGCCAGTGAGTGAGTGGGTCTTGGTTTTGTGAGTGAGTGAGTGAGTAAGTGGGTCTGGGTTAAGTGAATGTGTGAGTGAGTCTTGGTTAAGTGAGCCAGTGAGTGAGTGAGTGGGTTATGGTTAAGTGAGTGAATGAGTGGGTCTTGGTTGAGCCAGTGAGTGAGTGACTGGGTCTTGGTTTTGTGAGTGAATGAGTGAGTGGGTCTTGGTTAAGTGAGTCAGTGAGTGAGTGAGTGAGTTGGTCTTGGTTAAGCGAGCCAGTGAGTGAGTGACTGGGTCTTGGTTTTGTGAGTGAATGAGTGAGTGGGTCTTGGTTAAGTGAGTCAGTGAGTGAGTGAGTGAGTTGGTCTTGGTTAAGCGAGCCAGTGAGTGAGTGAGTGGGTATTGGTTAAGTGAGTGAGTGAGTGGGTCATGGTTCAGTGAGTGAGTGAGTGAGTCTTGGTTTAGTGAGTGAATGAGTGGGTCTTGGTTGAGCCAGTGAATGAATGAGTGGGTCTTGGTTTAGTGAGTGAATGAGTGAGTTGGTCTTTGTTAAGTGAGCCAGTGAGTGAGTGAGTGAGTTGGTCTTGGTTAAGCGAGCCAGTGAGTGAGTGAGTGAGTTGGTCTTTGTTAAGTGAGCCAGTGAGTGAGTTGGTCTTGGTTAAGCGAGCCAGTGAGTGGATCTTGGTTAAGTGAGTGAGGGAGTCTTCGTTCAGCGAGTGAGTGAGTGGGTATTGGTTAAGTGAATGAGTGAGTGAGTCTTGGTTAAGTGAGCCAGTGAGTGGGTCTTTGTTTAGTGAGTGAATGAGTGGGTCTTGGTTTTGTGAGTGAGTAAGTGAGTGGGTGGGTCTTGGTTAAGTGAGCCAGTGATCGAGTGAGTGAGTGGGTGGGCCTTGGTAAAGTGAGTGAATGGGTGGGTCTTGGTTTAGTGAGTGAATAAGTGGGTGGGTCTTGGTTAAGTGAGCCAGTTAGTGAGTGAGTGAGTGGGTCTTGGTTTAGTGAGTGAATGAGTTGGTTTGAGATAACTGAGCGTGTGAACGTGCGTTCATGGTGCAAGAATGAGCGACAGTTTGTTTAGAGTTATTGCACTGCAGAGCACAAACCCATGGAATATCAACTGAATCAGAAAATGCAAAGAAATGCCCAGGTTCTGTTTGGGAAATGCTTTCAACCCTCAATGTATTTTACAGAAGTAGCAAAAGGCACCAGTTCACCCCAACATCAATATGAATACAAAGTTTCGTCAACTTAAAATTAAGAGACGACTTTATTGTACCCCAGAAAAGCACCCTCCGTTATCGCACCGGGTATGTCAAACGACGAACAAGGTGCACGGGTGGCCGAGAACTCTTAGGCATATTTCACTGTACAAATTTGCGTTGCTTAGCTGCACCAGGATCTGCTGATCGGGATTCGAACACAGTCAGACCTATACCGTGCTCGTTGTTTTCACAAAACTGGTACATGTTCATGTGTGCAGCCTACGTCACTGCGGAGGTTACGCCCACATTATGCCGTCACGCTGTGTCATATATACAATTCAAAGCGTCACGCTGTGTTATATATACAATTCAAAGCGGATATAACCATGTTGGGTTACGTTTTTTTCCAATAATCAGGATTGACGTAAAGAGAACAAAATAGCTCAGCGGGAACTATCCTGATACACATGGCAATGTAGGTTAATTATAAACGCTGACTCCCGCTGACTCGAAGATACGTGTATGTCAAGGTAATCATACCACAGTCACCAATTAACCCGTTGTGCCGTCACCGTATTCTGGGAAACCTCGTCCATCCGTACGTTCGCAGTGAAGTCAATCGGATTAACAAAGTTATTTATCATTGAATCCATGATACGGAATAATGTCCATTTGCATAATTTAAAGCGTTCCAATTATTAACAGGATCCGGACAAACGAGGTTTCACTCTGTCAGTTGACAACTCCAGCTCAAACATAAGCCTACCTCTGACGGTTTGTACCACGTGACTGGCCGAGCCGGCGGTGCACTCCTACATCTGGTCCCACGGGGAGAAGGACTGGGGGATCTTTTTTTCTGGAACGAAAATATTTAACAAAAAATGTTTCTATTTCCGTACTAATCCTTACCTTTAATAAATGCCTTATTTGTATAAACCAATGTGAATTCCACCTACATGGTGATTAAAAACGCCGTTTTAGAACGCATGACATGCTATTGATGATGCTCCTTTTTTCCCAATAAGTCCTAACAATGTACACTTCACATGAACAGGTTTAATATGGGATTAGTTTTGAAGCGAGAGTAGCACGCTCAGGGTAAACAGTTAGCAGGATGCGACTTTGTGAATGATTGTATGACAGGTGACACAGTGCACACCTGACAATGCATTGTCAAGTTGAGGATGGAGTGGATTAATATCGATGTGTGGGGGGCGTATGAACAGCGTTAATTACAAGATGTCTTCATTTGAAGTCAAAACGCGTAGAAATACATGAACCGGAAACATGGCGGGGTTGGCGGAAGAATGTCTGCTGATTAATGTCAACAAGCAGTCTTTGTATGATATCTATTATTGAATATTTCACCATACCTTTTGAATATTTCATGAAGGGTGATCATTTGTCTTGAATCAATGTGTATCTCCTATTATATTACATGATGTATGTGTACAAAAGCTAATTTTGCCATTTTTCCTGTTTAGAGCTTCGACACTTACCCTAGACTTGTGCCCTCTTTTCCTCTTTTCTTTTGACCTTTTACCACTTCCTCCTGTCACGTGGCCGTATTCATCCGCGCCATTTTCTGCTGACATTGGAACTAGGCCTTCAAGCTTCAACTTCCGGATGCGCACGGCTTCGGCTTCTGCCAACTCATCCTCCTTCCGGTCAAGTCGTTTCTGTTTGATATAAACAATCACAAGATGGCAAACGAAGATAAAAGATTTTATAACATCTTGAATCCATCTAACGAATTCGTCTGATTATACTATAAATAACATACCTTTAATGTTAATAAATTAATCAAGTTTTGATGGGCATTAGGAAGATGGAAAAACATGAAGACATGATATTTTTTTATCTTAATCCTTCGGTCGGGCGTTTTATGATCAGGGTTTTGACTTTCATGGAATTAGTTTAGTCATTGTGTTGCCTGGACAGAAATAACTACTCTCTGATGTCGATATTAATATTTGAGGAAACATTCTCCCACACGTCTAGGTCGTACGCCTTGTCTACTTGCACATAAAGCTTGCCTTTCAATAGTAAGGTTTTACCGATTTTTTGTCTGCATTAATACTTCCGTAAAGTTGAATTGTTTATAAACTGACGGCCAAAAGAAACTTTACCATTTTAAACATGAAATTGCAAGAATTTTAAAAACACAAGCTCAAACTAAATCAATGCAAAACACATCGTCCAAGCACAACAATGCTCCATGGAGAAAGTGACCACGTCCACGGCACGACCTATTTCTAGAAAATGCCAAAAGGTTGGAAACACGTGCCGCTTTGGCAGTCGAAACTACAAGTGAAATAAGGGTATATAAATGATACGGACGGCATGTCAGACACTCACACTGATTAAAATAACCCCCAAAATGCAACGACTGACATCCAAACAATGGAGCGGTCCCTGAGTATGATTCAGATGGGAACTACCTATGCCCACAACTTTACAGACAGACCGGGCAGTCATTAGACAGGCCAAGGACAGGCAGACCCAGGGTAACTACGCCCAATGAAGACCGGTAATTTCGTACTTTGCATCTCCAGAATCGTTCCTGACAGTGACATCGTCAGCGACTTAGGGAATGAGGGCATTAGGACTTACAGACCTTACAGAGAATAGTTATTGGCAGCGCAACATCATCGTCAGAGATTGAGATGGGCCCGGACTGTACGTCGTTGGCAACGACGTGACTGGCAGAGGGTCGTCTGTACTGACGAAAGCCGGTTCTGTCAGTTCAGAGCTGATGGAAGACCACGTGTTTACCGCCGAAGGGGAGAACGAACGGCGGCATGTCGAGTTCAGGAGGTGGTTTTATGGTGTGGTGAGGAAGTTGTGTGCAGGAGAGAGCACTGCTGGTCATCGTTACTGGAGATTTGACAGCTCAGCGTTACATGGATTACATTCGTCGTTCTTTAGTCCTTCCATTTCTACAACAGCTGACACGTGGTGTCCTTTATCAGCATGACAACGCCAGACCCCATACAGTCCGAATCGTACAGAACTTCCTTGCAGCCAACAACGTCAACGTGTTGCAGTGGCCGTGGCACGCTACCCAGACTCCCAAATAGAACACCTCTGGGATGTCATGGATCGTCGTATTCGACAGCAACTACATCCTCAGGCCAACCGACAAGAACCGATCCATGCCCTCCAAGAACAATGACCACGTATCCCGCGTGACGTCATCAGACGACTGACTTTTTCGACTGACGAGTGTCTTGTAGCATGGGGCTGTCATTTACGCTATTGATGTGACGTGTCATTGAACTTGAGCGATTTTAGTTGTGTGTGCCATTTGTCCATCACGTTGAAAGATTGTTTTTGCTACCCCACCTCCGTTTGGGCAACTGTCGTTTTAAATATTGATTTCTAGTGTTGCCAGTAAAATATCAAATCACACAGAGATGTGTTAAGCGAATAGGTACAGTATTTGGTGGGCAGGTGTTTACGGAGTGGCTGCCAATACTCCCGATATTTCACAGCGCATCAGGGGGCGGTCGGGTAGCCTAGTGGTTAAAGCGTTTGCTCGTCACGCCGAAGACCCGGGTTCGATTCCCCACATGGGTACATTGTGTGAAGCCCATTTCTGGTGTCCCCCGCCGTGATATTGCTGGAATATTGCTAAAAGCGGCGTAAAACAATACTCACTCACTCACTCACCCACAGCGCATCAGCGGTAAGTCTGAATATGAATGGCCGTCCAACTAACTACTAGACCGTAGTGCTGCCCCATTACCTCGTATTCTTCCTGAAGACGGCGCTGGAATCTCTCGTTCCACTTCCGGTCATTCAAGTGTATGACTTCTGACCCCATGAGTCTGCGCATTTCAGCTCGGAACTGGTTGTCTGCAAGACTGTAAAACAAACATGTTTATAGTATTGATAATGTGGCATGTTTTAACGGTATGCAATGGTATGTTGTAACGTTATGTGCCAATGTTACGCTGTTACGGTATGCGACACTGATCTGCTGTAACGGTATGTGTCAATGCTATGGTGTAACAGTATGTTCTAATGATATGCTGTAACGGTATGCTATACTGATCTGCTGTAGCAGTGTGTCAATGCTATGGTGTAACATTTTGCTATACTGGTATGCTATAACGGTATGCTACAATGATATGCTACAATGATATGCTATAACGGTATGCTACAATGGTATGCTATAACGGTGTGCTACAATGATATAACATAACAATATGCCACAATGATGTGATGTTACGGTACAGTTATACGTTGTAACGGTTTGCAACAATGGTATGCGACAACGGTATGCTACAATGATATGCTATAACGGTATGCTACAATGGTATGCTATAACGGTGTGCTACAATGATATTCCATAACAATATGCCACAATGATGTGATGTTACGGTACAGTTATACGTTGTAACGGTTTGCAACGATGGTATGCGACAACGGTGTGGTACAATCATATGCCAGAACGAATTTCCTGCAATGGTATGGTGTAAGGGTCACCGGAACTTCGGTCCGAATTGACACCGAACTTAGGAAGATTAATCCAGATTACTGGCGTATTTTACCTCCATTCTATTTATCACAATAGACTTATAGGGAAATGTGTTCCCCAAGACACAAAGGGCTTGGGTTAGTGTCCCGCAGCTTCGCACACCAGATCTGCCTTGATTTTGAACCCATGTTTGTCAACACCATACCCGTGATTGTAGGTTTCAACAGTGTTTGTTTGTTTGTTTATTATTTAACGCCGCACTCAGCAATATTCCAGCTATATGACGGTGGTCTGTAAATAATCGAGTCTGAACCAGACAATCCAGTGACTGACATCATGAGCATCGATCCACGCAATCGGAATCGATGACATGCATCAACCAAGTCAGCGATCCTGACCACACCGATGACAAGCATCGTCCCCTTTTACGGCAAGCATGGGTTGCCGAAGATCTATTCTACCCCGGATCTTCAAGGGTCTTCAACACAGTGGCAAAAACGTCTGAGACCTGCTAAACTTTGAAATTGCCGCTCTCATATCCACCTTATATGTTAATCATTCCCAAAACGTTCAAATATATTGAACCAATTCAGTTATCAACAGACCCGCTTGAATATTAAAAGTGCACACAATGATCAATGTATCCCCGTGTTATGGGTTTTCGGACGCTTAAGAAATAGTCGTAGTTTTCTCTCTAATCACATGAACAACTGCAAAACATCTCATTCGACCATACAATTTTGGTCTACACCCCCCGTTATAGCGTATGTAATCATTCGAAAACGTTTGACGCCAGAAAACCTAGGATCCGACGTCACACGAATAAACTGTACACTAAGGATTTCTTCGCAAAATAAATATTGTTTGCGCAGATTTGACTGTTTTTTTAGAATGAAGATGCTTTATTTAGATGCATGTGTTGTATTAAAATGTAAAAAAAACTTAAGGTATACTATCTGACGTCAGTTCACAGTTAGAGGCTTATAAAAAAAAAACGATAATGGCTAATGGTAAGTTATTGATCTGTTAGCAGACCTGTACTTCCGGTCCTAATCTAAAGTCGCCCCAGAACACGATCTTACTCCACTGTGTTTCCATTACACACATTAATGGCAACATGTATGGAACAAAACATAATTATATAAAACATATGATGTGAAAGGGGTCATCCCGTTGGGCCATGTCGCTACGATTCGCAGTTCAGATATGGTCCCCTTAGCCTCGGGATCATAGGTTCGAATCTCACACTCAGCCAGATAATGACGCATGGTGTCTCGGTAGTATTTCGTCTCCGTGTCTGACCAAAGTAGTCAAAGTCTATCATTCATTTTATTTAGGGCAATAACCTCAGTCTAAGGAAATATGTTGCATAAACTGTTCAAAGCAGCTTTTATCCAAAGTCTCTCATTATCTCACTCCAACCAAAATAAAAACAGAGTTATTCCAACTCGCTCATTCGCTTACTCAATCCCCCACTCACGGCAGTATACAAATAGCGTCGAGTTTATTGAGTAAACTTGAGAACAACCTAGAAATGCTCATAAATTTAAAGAATTTATTAAGGACATTTATCAAAAGTTTTAAAAGTACTTACCGCACAGGTTTCATTTCAATAACTGACGCCTTACCTCGATTGCTCACGGTATATATTTATGTATATCACTATGAGCACACTACAACCTGTTTGTGTACAGAATAATCTACCCAGCTATGACAATGAATGCGTGAAATAAATTTAGGTAGATATACAAAATAGCACAGGGGTAAGTAGCTCTCCCCAGGAAACGCCGTGACCCACCTTGGCCTCCAAGTGACCACCTCCATGTCACATGTGCTTCAGAGGGCTGGGCTGGTACACACACTATTCAGTCGAACGCTAATATACACTGATAGTACTGGTGAGCACAATAGCGTCCACGAGTTTTTCACCGTTATCAACACATAATATACAACACCCTACACTCCAAGCTTCGCTGGCTATAGACTCGTCGCTATAGAGGCTCACGTTTAGTACTTGATAGTCTTTTTCACGTGGCCTGAGTAATTGCTTGCTAAGCGGCAACATACAGTATACACAACGCTTGAATTTTATTAGCGTCGCATGCAGGGCCGATCTCAAACTGGCAGATCGTAGAGGTAACAATTTGCTCAATGACAGGTTTATCAAATGTAAATATTTGATTTCGATATAGGGTTGGACATTTTGAGGGTCTGACAGGTTAATATCAAGTTGGGAAAAGACTTAATAAATATATGATATATGACAGGTCAAAGCAAAGCTTAAATACATATTAACCCGGGGCTCTTTGTGAATGGTATAATGTTATCGACATATTCGTTACGCGTCAGGTGGTTGCAAAATGATAAAGCTGTATGCGGCATTGACACATACTGATATCCGACTTTGAACGTATTGGTTTTCTGTCGAATAAAAAAAGTAGCATGTTCTTGATGAAAAGACGCTCAGCTCTGTTACTTGATTTAATTTTTTTTTCCCAGTTACTGATTTAAGGTCATCTTTGACAGATATTGCGTATTGTCACGAATTTAAACATGTTAGAATGTGTCAACTTTAAACCATCCTATACATCAAATACACATTAAAATTTACAAAGAATCCCAGTGTTATTTGAGGGGCAAGGGTAGCTTCAATAGCCTCACCAAATGCAGCAGCATAAACATGAAAGTCGTCAAACTGCCCTCTTTGTCAAATGTGTGCCATGGAGCTTTAACGAGCAGCAGTGAGCTGATTCTTGCTGTAACAGGTATACATAGCTTGTGTTACGTCATCTGCTTTTTGTTCAAGAGAAGCTGATTAACTCGTCTGGCTCTGTTTCAAGATAGACATATGTCCATATGATCGACGTCGAGAGTACCCGTTCATACCACCTGACACTGCTTTGCATTGCTATCCCAGCAGGGTGTGAGATAAAAATAGATTCACCAGAAAAAACATAATTTAATTGTATATGTAATGTAACAGCCAGGACCAATTCATGTGAGAATTTTTGTTGAGCAACGAGCGACTCATTCGCTACAGACATGCACATGAAGTAAAGCTGTAAGTGTTAAACCAAAGAGGCTCGGCGACAACCACACTACCAACTGGACCAACCCGTCACCGCGCTGCTGACGCAATGGCCTCGTCATATATTACTGTTAGCATTTCATACAGACCCTGAAACAAATAATATCCAATACAGCCCTATCAAATCTATAAAGTGGGCAAGTCCAGATTACTGCAGTTTTTGAAAATAAAGGCACCTTTTTATTATATTGTATTAATATAATTTAAGAACATCTTTTCTGTAAAATAGGTTTATTTCAGAGACTCGGTGTTAGCCTATGTAATATATAACATGTCTACATGCCTGGCTCACCATGTGTTCGTATAACTCTGGGTGTAAGCGATATGATTAATGCATAGCTGCTACCTACAAGTTTATTAATAATCGTTACGTGGGTCTTCTGTGACAACAGTTCCATTCATGCATATGACATTGCCATGTCCTGGATTCCGGAATGAGTGATAAGGGTTTAACGTTGCTTTGAACAGTATTTTGGTTATATATCGACTTGCGTGTCTGTTTAATGTGGGAGGAAAGCCCGAAGTTATGCATGTTGTACAGGTGAACCATTTGGTGGAACCAGTATCAGTATTATGGTGCTGACAAATCAAGGGTCATAATCGGGACAGCTCGAGGTCAGTGATCAGCTGACGGGCACACACAACGCGTGCGGCGCCTCAAACAGACCTCAGCAGAGGTGGCCCTGTCGTCTAAGGCGCCGCGATTCGCTTTGCAGAGTTGCGTCCTTTGGACACGCCAGAATCCTATGATTGTGGGTTCGAATCCCGGTTCGCCCCAATTATGTTTCTAGGTTTGTCAGCACCATACCCGTGCTCGTGGGTTTCACCAAAGTGGTAAACGTCTGAGACCTGCATCACTTCGGGCTTTCCTCCCACATTAAAGCTGACACACCGTGATATAACTGGAATAATGTTAAACACTCACTCACTCATAATACTGAGTGAGTGAGGTGGGTTTAACGCCGCTTTGATCAATATGCCAGTTATATCATGCGTGAAAGCTTAATGTGGGAGGGAAGCCCGACGTGATGCAGGTCTCAGACGTTTACCACTTCGGTGAAACAAATATATAGCACGGGTATGGTGCTGACAAACCTAGAAACATAATCGGTCGAACCGGGATTCGAACCCATGATCATAGTTTTTTTGGCGTGCCCAGGGGAGGCAAATCTGCAGAGCGAATTGCAGCGCCTTAGACGACTGGGCCATCCGTGCCCCCTATAATACGTAATACTGACGGAACATGGGCCTTCAGTACATGTTATATAATAACGAGTGCATATTTAAGAAATAAA